GAGAGAGAGAGAGAATTTTTAATATTTATTTATTTTTTTAGTTCTCGGCGGACACAACATCTTTGTTTGTATGTGGTGCTGAGGATCGAACCCGGGTTGCACGCATGCCAGATGAGCGCGCTACCCCATGAGCCACATTCCCAGCCCTTTTTGATTTCTTTTTGAGTCAATTTTATTGTTATATTTTTCTAGGAGTTCATCTTTTTTATCAGTTGTCAAATTATTGATATAAAATTTACAGAGTTTTTTTGCAGTGATGGGTGCCAAACTCAGGACTTCATGCATGCTAGGCAAACACTATACCACTGAGGTATACCCCAAGTCTTTTTATTTTATTTTGGGACAGGGTCTTGCTAAATTGCCAAGTCTGGCCTTGAACTTGGAATCCTCCTGCCTCAAACTCCAGAGTAGCTGGGATTAAAGGTGTGTACCACCATGCCCAACTCAGAATTCTCTTATTAGCTTTTAAAATTGTTCTATCTAGAATTATATTACTTTTCTGTTTGTAATATTTATTTGTGCTCCTAAATTCTAAGTAGCCTATGTACTGTATCTGCTTTATCTCATTGATTTTGGTTTTTACCTACATCATCTCCTTTCTTCTTCTTTGACTTACTCGGTTGTTACAAGAGTTTTCCAGTTCTGAGATTCTGGTCATTTATTTTCTGACCTTTACAATTGTTATAATCACTGCAGGATACTAAATAATAATCTACAAAGAATCTAAAGAATCTAGTACAACTGCCTTCATACAGTTGACATGTAACTACACGAAAGCCATCCTTTATCCAGAGATTATACTGATCAAGAACAAAAGCAAAAAAAAAGGAACTGAGACATGAACCAGGAAGGCTAAGAATTCTAAGTCATATTCTTTTTCCCATCTCTGAGCTAGACAACTCTGGACTCATTTCTTCACCAGACTCTAGACCTCATTCATGTCTAACCTTTGGAATAACATACTTCTTTTTCTTGTAGTCAATGTATATTATGAAAAATGTTTGATTATGAACAGTTAAACTTTTAAAAAGTGGTTGACAGAACAAGGTCTCCAGAAATATAAGCCAATGAAAAGAATTCAAGCCTTTGGGTATATTCACACATAAAGTCACATGCACAAATGCATACAATTCACAACTGCCAACATGAAAACTATGGTCTACAAAAACCCTTGTTTCACTTCCCATCTATTCCTTAACCCATTCTGAGGGCCCAATTAATAAAATTAATTAATAAATTACAATTAATAAAACTACAATTAATAAAACTACCATTTTTAACAATATCTGACCTCACCTTAAATAGAATTTAAAGTTCTACTGAGAGAAAGTAGAGACAGACTATGTGTCCATGATTGAGGAGAGAGCTGACATAGACCAAATATCCACAATGGGGAAGAAGATGACAGCACAGATCATGTTGTCACAAATGGATACAATGTAAATAGAGTCAAGGTGGCCAGAGAGTATTTCTTACCTGAGTATCCAAAGGAAATACTGGAGATGGGGCTCAGGTAGATGCCTTTGCCATAGGCTGCTCCATGCAGCTTGCAGGGAAACACCAGGATGAACATATGAGCCTGGGCCCTCCCATGGCTATATATTAGGCATCCACAAGGCTTATCCAGACCTCTGTCTCTCCATCTACCTTCTCATACATTCAAATTAACAGTAGGCACCTACTCTTATAAAACTGATAGGCTGAAAAGTGGATTTAGATTAAACTGTTTGCCTATTATATATTAAATATTAATGTCTTGGTGAGTGGGGAGTGGTAGAGTCACAGTCCCTCAAAATCCACAGTCCTATCCCCAAGCCTTGGCATACAGGCAATTATAGAAGGAATTATAGAAGAGGTCGCCAGGAGGAGGAATAACAACCATTCTCTGAAGTTTCTCAGGGTAAAGAAACAAGTCTTCATATCAATTCCTAAATAGCCACATAAATAGAGAAGTTCTATCTAATGTGAATCTATTGCAGTGGCTGAAACCAGCAATTCCGCATCCCTAACTATATGTATATTCTCATTCCCAAAACCACCAAAAAATACAGCCCAACTTCAAATACACAATAGCCACRTTCATTCTATAGATACAATTCCAACTTCCCCTCTAAGGAAGCTCCCCAGACTAAGCTTCAGGATGTGGAGGCAAAAACATCTGAGTATTCTAGAGCAGCCTTCCCCAAAACTTAGTGGGGTAGGTAGAGATGGAYAGAAAAAAGAAAGAGACACAGTCTCACCTGCAGTTTGGTGTAGGATGCATTGACTAGCCCATTGCGCAGGATTGAATGCCAGTTCTCAATGTGGGACCCACTGCAAAGCAGGGTAGAATATATGATTCTTTGTGGCATAAAGTTTTCCAGAGCATTTTCAAGAGTGCCATCCCCACCCATGGTTACCCACACGAAACATTAAGACTGGCACAAACACACCTAGAGATGGACATGCACATGGATACAGTCATAGGCAAGTAGATGTATGTTTGTGGTTAAACACTGTATCTGCATTTCCCGTCCTATCCTCTCTTCTGGCCTTCAGCTAATCACATCCTAACTCTCAATACTGAACTGCTGATTCAACATTTTCACTTGCCTATTTTCCTGATAATTCAAATTCAACAAATTTATCTCAAACCCGTCAAACTTATTACTAATTCTAAATGGCCTTCCAGTCCAGACTACTTTAAGAACACTATCACTCCCTCTAAATTAGCTTTTACACTTTCTTTCTTTCTTTCTTCCCTCCCGCAATTAGGCATAAATTGTGGATTTCCTTTCAAAGTTTTGAAATCTATCACCCCTTCCATTTGGTTCCTTCAACTATGTCATTTTATAAGTATCATTTCTCTTCAACTGTATCATAAACAAGTTGATAACATAAGCATGTCACGTTTCATTTTATCCTCTATARCATCTACCAGCATTTAATAAATATTTGCTAACTAGTTGAGGGACACAGGTAATATAAATTCATACCTCAAAGGCACCCCCACCCCCGGCCCACTGCTGCCCACCCTCCACCCTCCTCACTGGAAGGCAAAGGTGCTGCCATAGAGCTTCTTGGCGGTCCGGAACCGAGCCTCCTTGGCAGGAGGGCTGCTCAGCAGGAGGAACTGGTGTGAGGTGTGCATGAACTTCAGCTGCTGCCCAGGGTGGGGGTGCGGTCAGGAAAACAGAGCAGAAATGGAGATCAGGGAGGGAAGGGTTAGGGATAGGGAACAAATTAGGCTTAAACTGACCCCAAACAAAGGAAATATGATTAGGTCCAAAGATTATGTTGACATACAGAGCCAACATGGCTAATGTGATCAGTTGGCTTGAAACCCCTGCTGCCCCTTCACCACAAATTTGAAGGGTTTAGAGGAAGAATGATCACTTACCCTGCTGAGAGGTAGTTTGACAATGTGTGACCTGTTGCTAGAGATGATCCTGGGAAGAAACAGAGAAAAAAGGAAAAGGATAGAATAAGTATAGGGTTAGGTTATCCTGAACAGTCTTCCTTTGACCCTGGGAGAACAAGCAAGAATTACAGCATTGTCTGAATTGTGTGATAAATCCAGGTCACTATCTGAATATTCCTTTTGAGTGACAATGCTCATGTATAAAATTTTAAAAGGGAACCTACTGTCCAGAGAACAGTTAGTTATTGGGAGTTAAACAATGGATAAAGAAAGGAAAGGGTATGAAATAGGTCACTACATCCAGGGAGAGAAAAGGATGGAACAAAAGGAATCCTACAAGAAGTCACCTATTTTTAAAAAATAGAAAAAGAAAAAAAAAGAGAAATAAAAGGAGAGACCTGAATTAGGAATGGTGACAACTTAAACCAGAGATTTAGTCTCAGAACTGGGTCTCAGGAGCCATCTTGCCTGAGCTCAGAGAAGGCTGAAGACTCTCAGAGATGGAGAAAATGAAAAGAAAGTTACGAACTAAACTGGAGAAAGAAACAAAATAAACTAGAATGAACTTCCTGAGAAGTCAAGGACAGACTAGGCTGTACACAGGCTGTACTCRGAACAGGAGAGGACAAAGGCTTAAAATATTGAGGTCTCAGAAAGACAGCACTCTCCCACAGTGAATACAGTTTGTTTATTGTGCCTCATCCATATACTTGTGATGTCAGCCCTATGCCTGGGCAATCATTTTTATTCTTATTTAAAAAATTTTTTTTTTCAGTTACAGATGGACACAATACTTTTATTTTATTTACTTATTTTTTATGTGGTGCTGAGGATCAAACCCAGTGCCTAACATTAGCTAGGCAAGCATTCTATCACTGAGCCCCAACCCCAGTCCCCAGAGCAATCTTTTTGGCAAAAGGGAGGAAGCTGTTGTACTGAGAAGAACTGATGTCGAAGGTTGACTAGTAAGAGAAAGGCAAGCAAGAAAAAGAAAGCTGTCAAGAAAACAAAACAGAAATCATGGTCAGGGAGGGCAGGCAGTAGGAATATTCAGAATCTTTGCTAATAGAAGTGAATAACAACAGTACCTCAGACTCTAGACATTCAATATCAGGGAACATGCCGGGACAAGGAAAGAAGACAGGATAGACAGACCTCTCAGGATGCACAGGAAACTTAGTTGACTAATAAGTCAGCTAATTCCTATGTGCAAGGAACACTCAAAAACCTATCAGTAACGACAATATTTAATAAAAATGCATTGAAAATTGCCAAGAGTAAATTTTAAGTGTTACCACCATAAAAAATAACTATGTGAGGTAATGAGTATGGTAACTGGCTCTACTGAGACACTCCACAATGCATACCTATTTCAAAACATCATATTTTTATGAGAAACATACAATTTTTTGTTTTTGTCAATTAAAAATTAGCCAGGGCTGGGATTGTGGCTCAGTGGTGGAGCACCTGCCTAGCACATGCAGGGCACTGGGTTCAATACTCAGAATCATAAATAAATAAATAAATGTATGTATGTATATATGTATGTATGTATTTATGTTAAAAAAAAAAAAAAGCCAGGTATAGCAGAGCACACTTTAATTCAAGTGGCTCGGGGGGGCTGAGGCAAAAGGAGCAAAAGTTTGAGGGAAGCCTCAGCAACTTAGTGAGACTCTGTCTCAAAATGTAAACATTTTTTTTTAAAAAAAGGGCTGGGGATGTAGCTCAGTGGTAAAGCATCTCTGGGTTCAAACTCCAGTACCAAAACAAACAAACAAAAACAAAAAATTAAGAAAACAAACAAATCTTTTGGGGAAACATTTTTTTTTTTTTTGGTACTGGGAATTAAACCCAGGGCCTTATGCATATGAGGCAAGCACTCTACCAACTGAGCTATATCCCCAGCCTAGGAAACATGGAACACTAAAAAAAGAATTTGTGGGGGCTGGGAATGTGGCTCAAGCGGTAGCGCGCTCGCCTGGCATGCRTGCGGCCCGGGTTCGATCCTCAGCACCACATACAGACAAAGATGTTGTGTCCGCCAAATACTAAAAAAATGAAATAAAAAATATTAAAAATTCTCTCTCCCTCTCTCTAACTCTTTCTTTAAAAAAAAAAAAAGAATTTGTGAACTCTATGTAGGATCTAAATTTCTGTCAGGGCATGATATGTCAATAGCAAAACTCAAAAAAAAAAATCCATACTGCCTAAAACCTTGTGAAGAATACTGAAACCACCTTTAAGGGGTGCAGGCTCTATATYTAAAACCTTCCCCCTTCTCTATTGCCCCAAGAAGGGTGAACCACTCTATCCATACCATTGCAGGAGAGGATGAGCCAAGGGGTCCAGCTTGTCCATCTGCTTCTTGATTTCCAAATATGAGCCCTGTAAGACAATTATCATAAGATTATCTCCCAGGAGAGATGGGAGCCCTCCCACTTTCCATAGACTGACATCCAAACCCAGGGCAAGGGTATTGAACGCCACATAGAGAAAGAGGACATGGGGGTTCCCACCCTCAAGGAGCCCCAGTCAGATTAGGAAGACTCAAAAATAAATATGAAAATGACTGAAGATGCTTACAAAACAACATGCAGGTGGGTCTCCCTCATTTTATGCAATTCCTACAGCCCTAAAAAGCTGATTGTAAATCAAAAAATAAATAAAATCAATGTCCCAGAAAGATTAGGCTAAGGAATCCTATAGTAAATCTTTACATAAAGCAAAGTCATTCTGATAAGTAAATCATCCCTCCTAAGTGTACATTCTGTGTTAATCTCAACTGTGATATATAGGATTTGCTGAGAAGAGGCCCACCTGTAAATGTGAGAACAAATGAATGTCTATTCATGCAGAGACTGTAGACGAGGGGTGGGGAAATCTGGTGAGGAACAGCCTTGAGTCAAAGGATGGTCACTGCTCCATGTGGCTGCCCCACCCCTGGAAGGACAGAAGATGTAGGCCCCTGGGTCTAGTTCCTTACCTCCAAGCCCCCCTCCTCACCCTCCCAACCTTGGGCAGAGTTCTTTCCCTTATTTCTCTAATTCTCTAAGAATTTTCAAAAAACATTAATTTTGAACAACTTGTGAGGATTTAACAGCAAAGATAAAGATTGAGAAAGACATTAGGAGTGAAAAGAGTAAAGAGAGAGCTAATAAAACACAGAACAAGAATTGGGAAGGTTACAGAAGGAATAGCAGAAAAAATACATGAATTTGAGTAGCTTCTCTAAATCTTCACCCCCACTCCCATGAATTATACAAACAGAATAGGGCACTTAAACTGGGCAGGCAGAGAACATAGAGAGCAGAATACCTGGGTCATCTCCCGGATGGACATTACACTATCCAGAGCTTTCTGAAGCCGCTCATAATTCTTCTTCTGTAGAGAATCAATGGGAAGAAAAGAATCAGATGAAGAAAAGTAGAGGAGAGAGAAAAGTATAGAAAATCAAAGTAGGATGTAMAAAGACCTCTAAGAGGGCTTAAGGAAACAGACTTGTATGCTATAGAATTAATACAAGTTTAATGTCAGTTCTGGAATCACATGCTAGTTCAAAATAACAGGGTAAGTGACTTAACCTCTTAGAATCTTAGTATCCCTGCTTAAAAATGATGGCTTTTCAGTTGTGCGTGTATTTTGCTTTTTTTTTTTTTTTTTTAATTTTGTAGTGCTACGGAAACCCTCTACCACCAAGCAAAACCTCCAGCCCCTATTTGCAAATAAAAATAGCAATCCCTACTACCCRTACAGAAATGTTTTGAGAATTAAATAATGTAGGTAGAGAAACTGTATAGTGCCTGACAAAGTAATGATAGTAACAGTGATAAATTGTCATATATATATGTATATATTTTTTAATATTTATTTATTTATTTATTTTAGTTTTCGGCAGACACAACATCTTTGTTTGTATGTTGTGCTGAGAATCGAACCTGGGCCGCACGCATGCCAGGTGAGAGCACTACCGCTTGAGTCACATCCCCAGCCCCTGTCTTATATATTTGTGATGGTTAATTTTATGAGTCAACTTGACTAGACCATGGGGTCTAGACACTTGATCAAACAGGATTTCTGGGTATGTGATGGTAGTTCAGATTAACATTTGAATCAGTAGACTGAGTAAAGCAGACTGACCTTCCTAATGTGGATCTCAATCAGGTAACTAAAGACTTGAAAAGGCTAAAACAAAAAGGCTAACCTTTCCCCACTCCACAAATTGAATAATAGTGTAATCATCCTGTTTGAATTGGAATAACAATCTTTCCTGCCTTTAGATTTGAACTACAAAATGGCTTCTTCTTGAGTCTGATCACTCTCAGGCCTCTGGTCTGGGACGGCAACTATACATGTGACAGGTTTTTTTTTGAGTCTCCAGCATGCTGACTATGGATGTTGGGACTTCTCAGTCTCTGTGGTTATGTGASGCAATTCCTTATAATAAATTTCTCTCTTTCATTCTCTTATTATATATATTTATATTAGGTTCTCTCTGGAGAATCCTAATATGGTACTTTACATACATTATCTCTCATTTTTATGACAATCCACAAAGTAAATACTATCCACTTTTATAGGTAAGAAAACATTAATGCCATCCCTGACACCACTCAACTAGAGAGCACCAGAACTTCAAATAAAATCCATGTCTGTCTGGCTCCAAAGTTTATAAAATTCTTCCCATAATAATTTAATATGAATTCTTCTCCCCTTCTTCTGATGAACTCAGCTGACACAGCTAAACACTAGGATTCAAGAGTTCCCAAGAAACAGTTGTTCCATTTCTTCTGTCCCTTATCCAAGCTGTTGTATATGCCGGAATGGCAGTCTATAGTCTCCCACTATCTCTTATTATTTCTGTTATTTATCCCTGACTTTCTCCCCAAGCAACTGTACCTTAGGGTTAAAGGCCAGAGTCTTGGGATCAGTGGGGTCCACCACGGAGGGGTAAGGCTCAAAGATGATACTCTTTCTAGGGGATTCCAAAGCTGCCCTACACATGGCCACCAGCAGATCCACCACCTTAGGGCAAAGAAAAAAGGGGCAAAGCTTAAACAATTGCTCAGTTCTTGAAGTCCATGGCATCTAACATTTCTCTATTCTGTTCTTTTTAAAAACATATTTTCCTGCTGTTTTAATTAGAAAATGCAATCTGATTATATAGATTTAAGCAATAAAAATATGAAAAAATTCAAGTAATAACAAAGTTTTGATTAAAGATAAATATCATCCACCCACAAACAAATCTCATTTCCTCACAAGTAAATACTAATTAAGTTTGATGTAGATCCTTCCAGATATTTATTACTATGTAAATARTTTTTTCTTTTCATTTTTTTTTTTTTGTGTGTGCTGAAGATTGAACCCAGGGCCTCATGAATGCCAAGCATGAGCAACTCCTGAGCTCAATCAATCCTCCTGACTCCACTTCCCAAGCAGCTGAGACTGAATACAAGCACATATTACCATGCCTAGCTTTATATTTACTTTTTTATATAACTATATGTTACATCTTTCTATCCATAAATAATAAGTATAGAGTATTTCTACTATAAGGGCATACCATAATTTCTTTAACTGAATTTTGTATAGCTGGTGTTGTATTCATTTTTTCTTATAAACTTTATAACTTAGTGAACATCCTTACATAAGAAATCATTTTTGGAGGTTAAATTCCAAGGAGTAAAATTGCTGGGTTCCCTTGACTTTCCTGATCCCAATTCCTCAGCCGCTTTTCCCTCTCCTCATACCTCTGCTCCAGTAGCCACCTCCTCTGCAGCTCCAGACATGACTCCCAGTGTGTAGAAGGAGAAGACGCACAGTTCACGAGTACAGACAGCTGGCTGAATGAACATATTAAACAATACAATATAGGTGTAAGTTATGCAATGAGAAAATGTAAGGAGAGACAGGTCTGACCCTAGACCACTGCAGAATAAGGTAGAAATTTGGGGTCCTTTGTATCAGGAGAAAATCATCAAAAAGTATTATATCTAATTAAAATGCCTTACTAAAAAGTTTGAGAGTTGAGTCATCTACCTATGAACCATTCTCTGACCTGTCAGGTAGTCAGATAATTCTTCTAAGTTTCCATGACACTGTTTGTATCTCTTCTATACATTTAACATATATTATGATTTATAATTGACTATCCACCCATCTAGACTTGGGAGTACCAGAGGATAGTATTGTATCCACTCATCTTGTCAATATCTGATTCCTATTTTTAAATGCTGCATGGGAACTATTTCCTCAAGGTCATTATCATATCCTCATCTCTCCAAACATGATTAGACTTCTTTTCTGAGAAAAGCAATTCTAGAGTCTCTGGGGACAGAATCCCTTCTTTACCATAGGCCCAGGAAGAAAAGAGAGATGAGAAGTAAATGAAGGGGTCTTGGCGGAGGAAAAAGGTCACAGGGTAGGAGCCTATACCTTAAGCATGGAACCATTTTGGAAGACATGCTGCTCATCACACACCACACAGTACTCATTCAATGTTGGAATCCTCTGCTCTGCATATTTCATGATCTGGAGAGAGAACAGATGTCTACATATTTTAGAGGTTCACGCACAAGTATAGAAAAATTTTTTTAGATGCAGGAAATAATTTACGCTTCATTCTAGTTATTCTCCTCCCTTCCAGCCATTTGCCTAAAGCAGAATCGATTCTTGGGCATTGCACTTATTTCAACTGATGCCTCTACTTCAGAGCTAAATCTGTATATTATTATAAAAATAATACCTGTCATGATCTTTGATTTAAAGTCCTGAGTTAATAACTGACTTCTACTTCTTAGTATCAAATGTAACTATGGATGGCAGTTAATCTATGCCTTCATTTATAAAGTAAGATATTATTCACCTCATYGGGATATTGCAAAAAGTAAGATTATCTTCATGAAAGCATTTCATAAGCATAAGCAAGTGCTAATTAAACTAGTAACAGCAGATGTACTCACTACAGACTGCCCTTTAGTATAGGTGAGTATTCAATCCAAGATCAGATTGCAACGGGACCTGAAAAGACACTTCAACTACCTAGACAATTAGCCAATTCACTGGTCAAAATCACCAACAAAATTCTGTGCTGGGTTCAGGCTTGGTCACATATGCCTTTAATCCCAGCAACCTGGGAAACTTTGAGACAGGAGGATTGCAAGTTTGAGGCCAGCTTCAGCAACTTAGGGCCGCTCTCAGCAAGTTAGCAAGACCTTGTCTCAAAATAAACATAAAAATGTGCTGGGGCTGTAGCTTAGTAGTAGAGCACCCCTGGGTTAAATCCCCAGTACACACCCCTCAAAACTAAATAAAAAGAAAAAAGAATTCTGTGCTGKGAAGGTAGTACAAATTGAGAATTCATGCAAAATATCCTAATATGTTTTTCCTAGCAATGCCTTAACATACTGTTTGTGAATAAATCAAGCTGTCCCATTTCACATGAGCTGGTAACAGAGATGGAAGGGGTTTTACTAATTCATTTAATGCAGGTTTTTTWAAATGCCTACTATGTACTCAGCTCTGTAAAAGGTCTCTTTGACTATGTTATCAAGAAAGATTGTCTCAGATGCTAGACTCCAATAGGGGAGATGTGGTATGTCAACAAAATTCCTTACAATGGTATGTGACATATGGTATGTGACACAGAGATGTTACATAAAACAAAAAGGATCATGCAATGGAGTAATGAAGATTATAAGGAAAAGACACTTGTGAACCTTGATTGCAACAGGCAGACATGGGGAGGAAGGCCAGTGGAARGAATAACATGAAAAAAGATAACAGAGATATAAAAGTGAAAGCTCAAAGAAGTAAAGAGATTTTTGAAAGATGTAAATGATCAGCATTGGCTTAGCAGTGAAAAAGATCTTTAAGGAAACTGAAGATCACTTAAGCAARGGATTTGGGGACTGCAAGAAAAATTAGTGTCAATACCTCTCTTAACACTTTATATACTTAAAATTCACAGTACATTTGTACCCGATCCTAAGTGTTCCCAATAATTCTGTAAGTTTTTTGTTTGTTTGTTTTAGTCCTAATATTGGGGATTAAACCCATGCTGAGAATACATGAGGTTGGGAACTATATCTTCTCTCTTTATCCATTCAATACTTATTAGTATAGTTCTGGGAACAAAGCAACTCAGGAAATATTTAACTGACTAAAAGASCAGTGCGATCTTAGGGGATCATATGGTCAGACAATAAGTAAGATGTTTGGACTGAAGTTTTAGACCTAATTACCTGGACAAGGAATCCATACTCCAGAGTGGGAATGTTCTTGCAGTGACCACTAACCTGGTGGAAGTAAAAGACAAGACCTCATAAATCTTTTATGAAGCAGGGGCYTCTAAAGACCTCACTGACCCATCACCTAGGATTTTCCTAAAATTACTAAGTCCTATTTCAAAAAAAGCAACCTCAAAGCTGGAGAGATTTTTTTTTTTAGACATTTTTTGCCAAAGATTCTAGACTAGTGTTAACTCGTCTTTAATCCTTTCCAAAGTAGATGGAACAGATCAGTATAGAAGTTAACTACCAAGTTAACCACAGTCTAATAAAATCAAACATGACTTGCCCATCTACAGTCTCTCTCTGGTTTATGGCCTACTACCAGAGAAGGCAGCCAGACAGTTTAGATCTAAGTTTCAACTATTAAAAAAATATGTTCCATTCTACTCACTCATAATACATTAATAACCCCACCCCATTTTGAAAAGCTACACTCCCACATTTCCAATCCCACCCTCCTGATACCCAAGTCAAATCCTCCCCAGCCCATGTACCAAAGGAGAGGTCCGTGCTGGGGGAGGGAGGCCCACGTGCTGAGGGCACAGGAGACCTGCCTGAGGGCTGGGAGGGTAGCCAAACACCTCCACTTTGGGGTTCTTCATGGTACAGGAGATGGAACGATTCATGAGGCGCCCAACTCGTAGCTCT